AAGGCCATTACTTTGGTGGTAATGAGGTGAACATGTCAGGACTGTAATTTGTTTATTATCGTAATATTTTTTACACTTAAATAATATAAATGGTAAATTATCTGCAATTAAAAATTGAGGATAGCCAAATCTGGAAAAAACATCTTGCATTGCATCTATTATGGCTTCAGATGTTTTATTATTTAATGATAGCATCTCTATCCAATGGGAAAAATATTCTATTAGAATTAAGTAAGATTTACCACCAAATTCCAAAATATCAGCCGCAATTTTATTAAACCTCAATTTTGGTATTGAATGTGCTAACATTGGCTCTCTATAATTATTTGGCATGAATTTTTCACAAATTCTACATTTTTTTATAAACTGGACAATATCATCCATAAGGTTTGGCCAAAAAAATAAAGATCTTGCTTTATTAATAGTTTTACTAGTTCCTATATGACCTTTATGTAACAGAGTAATCATTTCCTGTTTTAGAGATTTTGGTACAATTATTTTATTTTCAACAAAAACAATTCCTGCTTCAACATATATATCATTTTTAATACTGTAATATGGCTTTATATACTCTGGAATTTTGTTTTCTTTAGGCCAGTCTTTATAATAAAAATCAACAATTGTAGCAAAAACTTTATCTTTAGAGGTTTCTTCTCTGAACTGATATATTTTTTTATCTGTCATTGGTAAGTATAGTGAGACTGAATGAACCATATCAAACATCTCTAAATCAAGGGTTTGTGCCTTTAAACTAGCTCTAGAAAGCATATCTGCAAATTGAATATGCTTTCCTGGAACATAATAAATATTTAATATGTACTTTAATAATTTTAGCCTTAAACGCTGCAACCTTACTGACCCAATTTTGCATATTGGTTTCTGCATAATTGAAATTATTGGTTTATGATCTGTTTGGACATCAACATCACACTGGTATATAAAGTTATGAAATTTTTGTGTACCATAAAAAATATACCATCCTAGTTTTGAAACATACAACACCCAATTCCATTTTTGGATGCATCACATTGTAAAACTATCTTTTTATTTGGATCAAATGGTACCAGAGCTGGAGAATTTAAAATTATTTTCTTTAACTTATCAAAACATTCCTGGTGTTTAGGCAACCATTGCCATTCGACATTGTTTTTTAAAAGTTCACATAAAATTTGCATGTGCTCAGCCATATTTTTAACATAACGTCTAATATAGTTAAAGGAACCTATTATTCTTTGTAACTCTAATTTACTTTTTGGAGTTTCTAATTTACATAAAGCATCTGTCCTCTCAGGATCTACTTTCATTCCTAAATGAGAAAAAATTTGTCCCATAAACTTTACTTCTTTTTTGCTAAATTGAATTTTCTCTTTATTAAATCTAGTACCCACCTCTTTTGCTCTATTTATCACCTCTTTGACCGCTTGATCATGTTCATCTTGAGACGCCCCTGCTATGATCATATCATCATGACAAACTACAATGTTTTTAATATCACCAAAATGCTTTTCAATTGCCTCTTGAAAAAGGTCTTGAGAATTTGATAACCCAAAAGGTAAAACTAAAAACCTGTAAGTTCCATAGTGTGTAGAGAAACAACATTTCCATGAAGAATTTTCATCAATTGAAAGTTGGTGATAACTTTCAGATAAATCAAAAACAGAATATACATTTTTGTTTAATAATTTTGAACATATTTCCTCAATGGACTCCCCAACTCTAGGTTTGCGTACTATATGTTTATTCAGATCTGAGGGATCTAAACATATTCTTAATTTACCATTACTCTTTTCGACTATCACCATTCTATTAATACTTGCCCTGGGGTCTATGTTTTCTACCTTAACAATTGCTTTTCTTTGGACTAATCTATCTAGCTCAGTTTTAAGTGAATTTCTAATTTTTATTGGACACTTGGTAGGTGGATAGCAAACTGGTTCAAATTTATCATTTGTTGTAATTTCATATGTGCCAGGAAATTTGCCTGACCCTGTGAAAACTTCAAAATTTTCATTGATAAATTTATCTGTTAAATCAGACCGGCCTATCTTATTTATTTTTATAGAATCAATACGTTTTACCAAACTTAAATTTAAACATGTTTGTCCACATATCAGAACCTGACTTGCACCATCCACAATGACAAAATCTTCAAAAATATTCTTACCCTTACATTTTACATTTAAATTTACTAAACCTATAGGATGAGACACATTTCCATCAAATGCCTTTAACACATATTCAGTAGGCCTGGTTTTAAATTGACAATTAAATTTTTTATAAACATTTAAAGGAATAACATTTACATCTGCCCCTGTGTCTAACTTAGCTTTCAATTTATAATTTTCAACCTCTATATACTCTTCCCAAGTGTCTATCAAATCAACATTACATACCTTTTTCCTGCTGTTAACATTTCTTACAAAAAATTCATTAGAAGAGGTTGACTCACAATCATCCTTTTCAGTACTTTTAATATTTTTGACCTTGCAGGCAACTGCATAATGGTTTTTTAGTCCACACTTGTTACACTTCTTGCCATAAGCTGGGCATTCCCTCGGACCATGCTTTTTTGCACACCTTCTGCATAAAAACACTTCTTCTTCAACTTCTTTCTCTTCATTCCAAGGTTTCTTCTTTATATCATATTTCTTTTTCTCTATCTTCTGTGTATGATTAATATTTCCTGTGTTATATTGAAACTGTAAATTTTGAGATCTACTTTGCTCACTTGTTCTGCAGAATTCTATAGCTTTATTTAAACTTAATTTGTCTATTCGCAGGAGGGCTTCTCGTGTGGTCGGATCCCTAATTCCCATAACAATTTTGTCTCTTAATGCCTTGTCTTCACATGACTCATCGGGATCTAGGCATTGTAATTGCAACTTCTAACCAAATGTCTGCACTCTGTCAAAAAATGTTCAAATGTCTCCCCATCTTCTTGTACTCGTTTTATAAAGTTGTACCTCTCAAAGCATTCGTTAACTCTTGGGTTCACATACTTATCTAACAGCTGCATTGTGAATTCATACTTATTTAGTTCTTCATCAGGGATAACAAAAGTAGCCATAATCCGTGCTGATTCATGGCCAATAATATTTCGCAGGATGGATAATTTCACCTGATCTACAGCGTCGTGTTGTCCTGTTGCTACTAAATAATCTTCGAATGAAATTTTCCAAAATTTCCATTCAGAAGCGGCACTCTGACCCTGGAGGTCGAAATCTTGGGGTAACTTAACATAACCTATTCCATTGACCATGCTTGCCATTTTGGGAACACTTAAATTTTTCTTTTTAATAAACTTAGCACTTAACTTTATCCTTGGACACGTAGATTCCATAAATTGACTGCGCCATGTTTAAAGTATGTTAATAAGGTCTCAATTAAACTACTGTATTGGCTGAACATATATTAATAATATTCATACATTACAACATGATCATGTCGCCCATTGTCCCCGTTGGGAAGTGGTGTTGACTTGACATTGACATATTTGACATAGTTACCAGGTTTACGTTAAGCCTATCTTACATTAATGTCAAACACCCCCGAACAGATAGTTGCAGTACCTACGTGTGATGAATACGTTGCAAAACTAAAATCACTCGAGAAATAATCTAGCTTGCCCCCTCTCACTGCAAGCAAATCAATTCTTGTTCTAGAAAAACAGATGAAAAACCTTTACACTGCAAGCAAACTTCATAAAATGAAAGCAGAAGCTTTTGACAAGAAAAAACAGCAAATCAATAGGTTATGTAAAACCAATGAAAAATCGAAAGCATTTGCATTGAGTACCAAAAAAACTTGCCAGTGCCTAACATTTCAACAAATGATGTCTATTACAAAAGACAATTACATATCTGTATTTACGTTCAACATACACGTACTAGCCTCCAATAAAAGTGTTTTTTATACATACCCACAGACAATAGGGAAAAAAGCGCAGACGATGTGTCTTCTCTCCTTTACCATTTAGTCCATAATTTCCTTGATCCTTCAGTTGAAGAGTTGTTTATATTCGCCGATTCTTGAGGAGGCCAAAATAAAAACAATTCAGTTGCAAGATTTCTGTATCATCTTGTTCACATAGAGAAGAGTCTTAAGACCATACATATGATTTTTTCAATGCGAGGGCACATGGAAACCGTTTTCTTTTGATGTGATTGAAGTTGATCAAAATATGCTGAAAAAATTCTTTAAAAAATGTCCATTTCAAACAACACCTATAAAAGTTTTGAAAATTGAACAAAACTGTCCTCATTTGATTTGTCATCGTCCAACGTACTATGGAAATTTCGTTTAAAATACAGTGATTTCAAAGGACAAAAAAAACCAATGACACTCCAGTTACCTTAGCATCTCATTAGCAGCTGCTACCTCTTTCTAGAGAAAAATTTGAAGATGTGTCTCCTACTGAATTTTATTCCAAAGAAGCTCAGCAGTACTTTGAATCTTTACCACATCAGTAAATAAGTATTCTTCTTAAGTATATTGTTTTTTAATTTATTATAATAAAAGATAATAAAGGCCTTGTTTAACTTATTTTCGTACTCTAGCAATAACATTCTTTTTTTTTATTTATTTATAATATTTTTTGTTAAATTAATATAATTAACACTTATACTGATATATAGCATATTTTACTAAATTGTTTAGCAACCTGTTAAAAAAAAGGAGTTTAGGATCATACAAGTTAAATATTACAAAATAAAACATAGAAAACGTAGTTTTCTGACAAATGTACTAATAGTGACATTGCGTCTTTATTCCCTGCACCCTTCAATTGTTATTATATTTTTACATACATAAATATCATCAGCACACAAAGCTAAATTTGTAGTTAGTTGTATGTGCCCGATTAATGAGAATTTCTTGTAGGCGGTAACAAATTCTAATTGGACGATATGGTATTCCAAAGCAGCTGTGCTAAATGTTCAATGCTCTCTAAAATTAACTGTCACGCCAGCCATTTCCTACATGTAAATTTGTCGTTTTTGCAGATGTGGTCAAGAAACGCGAGTTATTCCGAGACTGCTCCAAATGCGATTCCATTGGCTGAAATCCGAGAAGGAATCGGTGCGACTTGAACAAGCCGGCATCACAAAAAACGTTCTAGACTCGGCCATAGCCGCCTTTACTCTGGAAATTATTGCCAAACATGGAGAACCCGCTCCGAGATTGTGTAATAAGGATCCGTTGACCATAAAGGTAAGATAAAATGTTTTTTATGCGAGTATTAAAAATTCGTAGCTACACTTAAGCACTTGTTATTTCACCTTATATCATATAATTATCTATAATGATGTTTATTTGGTATACGAGGGCAAACAGAAAAGACTTTCGCATAGTGGTGGAAAAATGTGTTTACAGACGCCAACGTTAAGTAAAATGTTTAAATTTATTCTCAGGGTTATTTTTTTAGTTATAAACTATCTTTACCTCATACTAATGTGGAAACATAAAAAAGAACCAGAGGAAACGAAAGAAATACATATTTGTAAAATATTTAAACAAATCATGTAAAATAATGTAGAAATATTTAAACAAATAAGTTGTTAAAAAAAAATAAATATATTGATAAAATAACATTTAAAAATTTTATTACATATATGAAATAAACCAATATAAATATCGTCGGTCTCTATCCTGATAATTGAAAACTTCGCAGCCAAAAGGAATTCGCTTTACTACTAGTAAATTACCTATATTGCTTACAAACTTAGGGTTCCGTTTCAAAATTTTATATCTCAGAAATATTGTTCCCAAATTTTATTAAACCGATTAACTTCCAATTTCTTTCAATTCTAAAATTGAACCGGATACTCTCTTCTTTTAATTCGCTAACTAAAATCTCTTCTTGGATCTGCTCCCAAATTTAATCTCGATCTCACGTCCTAACCAAAACTCCTATCTCCTTTTGGATAGCAAAAGCTCCTAGCTTAAAATTCTTCCGATGCAATGATAATTTATTTGTACTTACAAATATTGTTAACATTAACTTCTGCACTGCTACCAATCAGCATACATAGAATCGCCACTGCTACCAATTTTTCTAACACTTTCGAAAGCAAAAATTACTTTTTACTTTGCACACTTTAATTTTGTTCTACCGTCCACATTCACCGGCATTCATTCTCTTTTTTTCTTCAAATATTATTCTTTACGACCAGTAACAGACTGTCTTTTCCTCTGCTTTTAAAATTCCATCAAATATACAACTTCCCCCCTCTCCATTTTTAACCAATGATCTTTTAGTATTTCAAACAATTACATAGGATTCCCATTTCTACGAAATTTATCAAATTGATATTTTCTTGTTTTCGATACATCAGCAATAGCATCTGCATAATTTTATTTCTTAACTTTCAAATTTTTTGACAAGACAATAGCTTAATACGGTTAATCGCTTTTTTATGATTCCCTCATTAAAAACCAATGTCAAAAAGGGTTTTCCCTGAATTTTGAAACCAAACCTTTTTTAGTCATACATTATTTAATTCTATCTAATATCTTAATTTAATTATCGAAATATCGAAATTTATTGTTTTAACTGCATAGAAAAACAATTTACTATTCTAAACAATTTATGCAAATATTTCCTACTAAATTTCTTAATTTTTTTTTTATATAATAAAAGAATATATACTAATAATTTTTTATAATAAATGAATGTGTATTCTAAATATCTGAACTTTAAACTCAGCAGACGCAGGGAGTGAACACAAACTAATACTAGCAAAGATAAAAATGAAAATAACACCAAATCAAAATTTTCTACAGGAAATCACCGAGGAACAAACTCAATGTAGAACGATTCTGCAAGAGAAATGTACCAAAGGAGGCTAGCACAGAAGATACAGCTGAAACAAATAGACGACATCGACGATATAAACGCGAGCTGGGAGAAAATTAAAAACAACATTGAAGAAGCAGCAACAGAAGCTCTAGGAAAACGCAAAGTCATACTGAACAAAAGAAACAACAATACACCATGGTTCGGAAAAGAAATAAAAGAGAAATGTAAAGAGAAACGAGAGGCCTACATGAAGTACAAAACATCAAATACCCCAGAGTCTAGAGACAACTATAGAAGAATACGAAATGAAACAAAGCAGTTGGTAAGAATAATAAAAAAATGAACAGTGGGAACAGTTTACAAAAAGGATGGAAAGTGACGTCTACGGTACACAAAAATATAATAATGGAGATTTATAAGAAACCAACGGAAAGAAATGGCAGAATTGAAGGAGTGCAATAACATTCCAGCAAACGAATGGAAAAGATACCTGACGGAACTGTTTAAAGCAAAGGAAAATAATAAACAACACAATAACGTACCTGAATTAAGACACGAAATAGAAATCAGTTTTCAGAAAGTAGAAATAGCCATAAATTCGCTCAAAAATAGAAAGTCGCCAGGACCAGACGGAATAACCAACGAGCTTCTAAAATACGGAGGAGAAAGTATAACCCTAGAGATGACAAAACTTATACAAAAACTAATATTGCACTGCAAGATACCAGACGCATGGAGAAACAGCATAATGATACCAGTGTTCAAGAAAGGAGATAAAGAAAACCCCAACAATTATAGAGGTATAAATCTACTGAACACCGCACTTAAGCTTACCACAAAATTCCTAACCAATAAAATCAATAAACTAACAGCTTTATCAGATGAACAACAAGGATTCATATCCGGAAGATCCTGCCAAGACGCCGTATTTGTACTAAGACAAATCACAGAAAAGGCCATTGAGTACAATAAACCAGCATATATATGTTTTATAAACCTGACAAAGCCTTTCGATCGCATCCAAGTCGAAGACGTCTTGCACCTACTGTATAAAAGAAACATAACAATCAATATTATACAAACCATCGAAAACATCTACCTCTAAAATAGAATACAGGCAAAGATAAATGGAAAACTAACACAGTCTATACCAGTACAAAGCGGAGTCAGACAGGGTGACTCGTTGAGCTCACTTCTCTTTAATATAATAATGGACGAAATAATACAAGCAGTACGTTAAGGTCATGGCTACTGAATGGGAAACAAAGAAATCCAAATATTATGTTATTCAGGCGACGCTGCATTAATCGCCGAGACAGAAGACGAGCTCCAAAGATATCTTCAATACAACAGCTAAAAAATACAATAGGATAATATCAGCAGACAAAACCAAATGTATGACAACATCTAAATACTCACTACGGTGTAAACTCGAAATTGATGGCAAAATAATAAAGCAGGAAGCAAGGTTTAGATATCTGGGAATAGATATAACTAGTTACAAGCTGTTGAAGAAGAAGTACGATAACAAAGCTTAAAAGCAAGTAAAACGGCGGGTTCTCGTATTGACACAATCTGGAAGAACAAACCCCTAAGACAAGACACAAAAACAAGAATCTATAAAGCAGCAATTAGACCTATCACGGCGGAGACAAGACCTGACACATCTAAAACGAGACGACTGCTAGAAACAACAGATGAAAATACTCAGACGAGTATCAGGGAGAAGTCTATTGGATAGGGAGAGAAGCAAAAACATAAGAAGAGCATGCAATATAGAAGACATAAAAGGAAAGGTGACAAAACAAAAACAGGAGTGGAACGAATATATCAGTAGAATGGCAGATGATAGAATAGTATAAATAGCACGAGATAAGTCACCAAATGGACGAAGAAGTATAGGCAGACCAGAAAAAGATCGTGCGACAATTTAAGGAGGCTAATATTGAAGAAGAACAGGATTTAAAGCCTACATACTAGAAGTAAGAAGAAGAAGAAAGAATATGTATATTTGGGACAACTAGTTAAATTAAATAAAGAGACCGGAGAAATAAAGAGAAAGATACGGTTGGCATGGGTATTCTTCAGAAAACTTTCTTATATACAAAAATAGAAAGTACCACCAATATTTAACAACAAGAGTCTTCAACCAATGTATACTTCCTGTTCTCATCTACGGTTCTCAAACTTGGACGTTTACAAAAGAAAACATGGAGCCATGGAAAGGCAAATGCTGAACATCAGGCTATCAGACAAGAAAATAAATACTTGGATCCTCAACAAAACAAAAGTGACCGATGTATCAACGCAGATAGCAAAACTTAAGTGGAAGTTCGCTGGACATACCATAAGACAGAAAGACGACAAATGGAATAAGATGACTATACACTGGATACCATATAGTTACATATGAAAAAGAGGAAGGCCACAAATGAGATGGTCAGATGACTTGAAGAAACAAGTAGGCCCGAAGTGGATACAAACTGCCTACAATAGAGAGACGTGGAAGAAGGAAGAGGAGGCCTATGTCCAAAATTGAACAGCAAGGGCTGTATAGATAGATATAAATTTCTTAAAATCATAATATTTACTACTTATCTTTAGGTACAATCGCTTACAAAATAAATTTCAATATTAGGAAAGCCCGGAAACCGCATTTTAATTTTTAATGTTCATTGTTTCGTAAAACTCTTATTACCTTCATTTGTCCTTTTAAATCTATTGAGGATTAACAGTTCTTAAAATCACTTTAAATTCACTCACTTTTCAATGGAGGAGAAAAATATCTTGATTTATATGGTAATTTTAAAACAGAAAAAATTTCTACTGCTGTATCCCGCATCTCAACCTCCATTCTCTCTATCCTGACAATCGTTTTCTTCCAGATTTATTTCCTCCATCGTATCTTCGATTTCTTTTTTCACGTGTTATTTTTGCTCGTCTGCGTTTTCTTCTATTTACAGGATGATATTTTAACGCTTTGTTTGACCATCTTTTGTAATTCATTATTTCCACGTATCCATACTATATAAGCTGTCGCATTATTATTCTATCGCTGATGTTTTCTGTTACTACCATCTGTTGTAATAACGTTTTAATTTTTTCTATATTCCAGCTTTGATATTCTCCCCACTCTTCTGATGAATTCCATTTCCACTGTCTCAATTTTTTCCTTAATTGCCATTGAACACTCTAAGCCATACGTTGTTATAAACTTTATAATGGACTTGTAAATTGATAATTTGGGTTTCCGTCTAATTTTTGTCGTTCAAATTATTGAATTTAGTCTGTGGATTGCCGCTTTCTGTCTCAATATTCCTATATATATATATATATATATATATATATATATATATATATTAATATATATAACACTGTTTTTGATGGGTTGGAGTCAATAAAAGGGGCTATTTGTTGACTA